GGCCGGCCCTTGACTGGACACTTTGAATTCTTAATTTTTTGTAGACTTTTTAGAGCATCCTATTTCCTTCTAGCTTTTCTCTTTTGACCTCTTTTTTTGGCAGCCAGCTGGCTCAGGGATATGAACCCTTGACCTTGGTGTTATAACGCTGTGCTGTAACCAATCTTTTGCCTTCTAAGTTCGATCCAAATGGTTATCACCACCTTTGTGTAGACAGTATTGTCCACGGAGGGCAATACTCTCAGCCCCTGGCTTTATTAAGCTGGCCTGTAGGGGGTTGTCATTCATCTCCAAAGTCTGATGTAGGGTGAATCTCTTTGATTTGTAAACTCTTTGGGCCAGGGAGGAAAGGCTCCACTTATACCCAATCACCCAACAAAAATCTGTTTTTTAAAGATAATAGTTTGGGCCGACCCCGTGGCGCACTCGGGAGAGTGCGGCCCTGGGAGCGCAGTGCCGCTCCCGCTGCGAGTTCGGATCCTATATAGGAATGGCCGGTGCACTCACTGGCTGAGCGTGGNACAAAAAGGAGAAAAAAAAAAAAAAAAAAAGAACTTCCCAAATTTCACAACTTAGATCAAGCTCAACTGACACCCCAAACCCAACTCCATTCTGAATTAATAATTTTCCCTCTGAAAATTATTAATCACGGTACCCTTTTCTTTTCTCTCTAGCAGGGCATGCTCTCTGGGCTTCCTCCAACCAGGCTGTGATATTTCTGAGTCTGTTTCGCTGCAGTTTTCCCTCCTCCCACCCCCAAACTAGCATGGTACCAGGTGTGCTGAACATGGAACTAAGAACAAATAAATGAAAAACTTAAGAGGCTTTTAAACTATTAAAATCAGAAGTATGGTAATGAAATGATCAGAGAATCTTCTATGCTTTCTTCTTTTATTTTGAGAAACTGAGAAGTGTTAAGCATTGCAAAATATGGGGGGAGGGACATGGGGAGGAGGTGTTCACTCCAAATTCAGAGGAGACTCTAAACTTTGCATTGACTGGACACTTTGATTTTTTTTTTTTTTTTAAAGATGACCGGTAAGGGGATCTTAACCCTTGACTTGGTGT